GCATGAAGTATGTTTGTAGATGAATAGACACAGTAAACGCATCATATACTGTTTAACAGGTTTTCAAACATATTGCACACAAGTAAACATTAACTTTAACATCATGTGCTGCACTTTTTTAATGTGAATTCATTTGTTCAGCTACATGAATGTTGTTGATGTCAGTTAATCTTATTTGTTTTTTTTTTTTTTTTTTTTTTTTTTCTTTTTCCATTTCATGCTCTGTATTAGCGGTAAAACTACCTAAATGAATACTTACCGTAAAAACAAAAAACTTGGAGTGAGAACTTGCATGGTTGGCCAGAACGAATTCCTGAATGGTTCAATCCCAAAATTGAATTTATCCGCTTTGGAACATTTGCACAAGAAGTTCATATTGAGAAAGGTTTTATTTTGTTAAAAAACTCAGTATTTTGGACGTTAAAGCCTTGAAATGACGCTGAACTGTGATAATAATACGTAGTATTGTTCATATTTACAGTTAACTTTGGGTGACTCTCCAAATCCTTCCCGTCCGACTTGATATTACAGAGACCGTATGTTTACTAACTGCGAGCCAGACTAACCCGCAAAGTCCAAGATGGCTGCCAGTTTTTTGAGGGCGTCTGAGGTGGTTTTTGCGAGATCTTCAACTCACTTCTGCAGAGCCTTTTTTTGCGTGTCTTGTCAAGGGACAACAAGCCTTGGATGCGTCACCAGTAATTTCATGCGCTTATGTGTACGTGTGTGTGTCTGTGTGTGTGTGTGTGTGTCTGTGTGTGTGTGTGTGTGCTCTTCTGGCTAACACAAACCACATGTGAAATTAACCTTAGGCAGATGCTGGTGTTGGGGAAGCATTGTGTCCCTGAGTGTGGGCCCAGATAGGGGGATTTCAGAGGGTAGAGATGGATGAAGAGATAGGAAGCGGAGGAGTTGAAAAAGAGGAAAATGGGCACACATGGCAGCCAGAGATTAGACTAGAACTGTTTTCACTGCTGGGCGGCCCACTCTTCTGTCTCTCCCAGATACATGCTAGGACAAAAAGTACACAGCTGTCTCCTATCTGTCCACGCTGGTAACCTGGTACAGCGGAGGGGGTGGTATAGGGGCACAGTAGCTGGGGTAGTGTGTAGAAAATGGGGCTTAGCCCTCAGAAGTTTCTGTAGCAGTGTTTTGCGGTATTATGGCGCAGCACAGCATGCTGGGGCAATGAGGTCAGAAACTTGAAACAGAACCTAGTGAGAGCCAGCAGGTTCATTGCCAGAGTAGTTTTCCCTGATTTACAGGCTGCATTAGCTAACTAAGACAGGGGATTTTATTCTGATGTTGCTATAAATTTCAATCTTTTAGTTCTTTTTTTTATTTATTTATTTATTTTATTTTTTTGGTTTTCACAGAAAATGCATTACATAAAGGTTGCTGCTTGACTGACACTGAAAGGTGCCAAGGGGAGGGGAAGATTGCTGTATGTGTGTGTGTGTGTGTGTGTTGAATGTGAATACATTTTAAACAAACCAGAATCCCAGCCTGTGTCATCGTGCTTCAATAACAGCCCCCCCCCCATCTACCCTGTTCTGGCTCAAGACCCCTATGGAAGACCTACTTCCTGAGTAATGTAATAACCATAACAATAATCAGCCTGTCACTCAGGGAAGAGCTGTCAGTGTCCCAGCAGGCATCTGGCAGCCCTGGGGGTAAATATCGCACCCCTATACCCCTCCTTCCACCCCCACAGCCCCCCACCCCCCTAAACACACACTCCCTTATAGCACCAAGGCAATAAGACGGCAAAGGAGACGCAGCGCCGTCTCAACGCCGGTCACTCAACTCGTATTTAAAATCCCGGTTTGAGAAAATTGGGTTAGATTATGTCGTCCTTATGTACAGTCTATGATCTCGAGGGAGACAGCTCGAGCATAGCAAATAAATCGGCATGAATAGACGGCAGTGTTGCCCGCGTAGGTCGAGTTCTCCAGCCACACGTTAAGACTGTGAGTTTCATGTGTGGTCGTGGCAGAAATGAAGTAAACAGCCGAGGCGTCAATAAGCCAGTGTAGGTTGTTTTCGGGTTGCTGAAATACTACGCTGCTACTTAGAGATAAATCTGGTCACCTCGTGTGAACTCTTTTGACCCGATATACCCGCACACCCTGTCAAGGTTGCACCAAGGTTGGCTGAATGTTGCTTGGCACGCATTGCCCTTATTCAGCCAGCAAGCTTAATGCAGATGCTTCATTACCTCCAGGTGTATTTTGCTTTCATGTGCATCCGCCTTTAGTCCTGAGATTCATCTCCTGCTAAGGGCCATTCTGTGTGCATGTTTTTCTGAGGGTTCATTATGTGGTATAGGGGTGGCGTTGTGCTGCACGGAAGCTGACCGACTGATAACCTCTCTATGCAAAGTGGGGGGAAAAAAAAACCCCCCTCAGCCATCTCTGCTGAGCACCACACTACCGTGAAGGTTCCCCCAGAGGAAAGCCAGGGAGGATCTATAATTCATTCACCTCCGTTTAGAGTCAACCCCAACTTAATGTAACCACGGAGAAAGGTCCGTGATGTTGGATAGGAGTAGATCTCTCTGCGCCTCTGCAGGATTCTGACAAAGCCCCTTAAAGGTTTTCAGTGCTTTTAAAAGTTGTCGATAAGAGTACGCAGCTGGAGTGGCCCTGAGATCAAGGGTGTGTGTGTGTGTGTGAGTGTGTAAGTGCTGTTGAGGGCACAGCTGAGGTTTAAGGCTGCACTGTACTCAAAACAAACAACACACTTGTGCTCTCCTCAAGACACGTTTAAATGGGCTCTTGAAACGGGAACCGATACTCTTCGAGGAATATGCTGCACAGCAATGTGAGTCAAGCAGCAGCGGAATGAAAAGTTTAATTTTAGAATAAATAAAGCCTGTAATTAGATTTTTTTTTTAATCCAAGCAATCTGAAAATAACCCTTCTTTTCATCCTTAAAGACTCTTTTAAAAGGCCCTTATTTCCTTCCATAATGGCTCTCTGATATCTCTGTGCAATCTCTTGCCGTCCCTCATTCCCTCAGTCTCTGCTGAAAAATCCCCAAAACCACCCCTTCCTGTTGTAAATCTAAATCGAGGAGGCAAACAGGGCTTCTTGCGCACAGCTCCTCGCACACGGGGAGAAAAGCAGTACATGAAACAGCCATGCATGGCCTTGAATGAGTCATCTAATGCAGGGGGAGTGCCTCCACACACACACACAGCCACTAAGCCACAGCCTCCATAGCTTTCAACAAAACATCTATTCTAAGTCTCTTTCAAGTTCGGAGCGATCCTCCAATTTTAGGGGAGCGAACTGGAAGAGGACGCAGCAAGACACGTCAGACTTCTCCTTTTGCAATCACGAGTTTAAAAAAAAAAAAAAACTTTTTGGGGAAGAGGATCTGGGGAAATATTTGTCATAACGGGAGCTCGGTTAACATGGCGTCCACCGTGCATGCCGGGCCTTCGTGTCTACATATGGTTGTCATTGTAGGATTTGCAGGAGCAGGCATGGGAAGAGAAGAACAAACACATGCAGACATACAATCATATATCTGTGGTCGGGATGCACTGTGTTTAGCCGAAATCACTGCTTAAAGTAGAATACCACACAAGCTTAGGGGAAATTTGATCTTTCACTCAGTTTTTTACTTGTCAAAGAAATCACTTTTCACATCAATACTTCAGCGCGCCAGATGTGGACGGCTAATAAGGCAGGTGCTCGAGTTCGCCATTTCTGTACAAAGAACATCCTGTTCCTGTAAAGCGAACAGGGTGAGTGTCTTCGTGGAGGTTTGTTCCTTCGGTGTTGTCATGAAGTTGATTGACTCTGCGTCGTAGACCGGTAGCCGTCCCGCTCAGGTGTATCCCACCAGGCAGTTCAACAGAGAAAACGAAGAAATGTGGTACATGCGAGAAGGGGGGGGGGGTAGAACAAGAATCCACCCCCAAAACATGAGTCACATCGTGGTGTCCCTATAGTCCTGGGCTTCGTAGTCCACAGACGTGAGGTCTCTTGTGGCTGGAAGAAAATCTGTGATATATTCAGAGGCTGTCTTTAATACCTGCTGACAATGAATTGCACAGCATGATAGAATTAAGGTAATTTTCTGGGGTAATGGGCGCATTTCCCACTTCAGATCTGTGAACAATGCAGTGACTTCAACACCAAACAGGTGGCCAAATACTGTTAAGTGCTTAAGTAAGTCCCCTGTCTTTTGTATGGGCCCATACCAGCTCAAATCTCACCAAGAGCTTTCTCTCCTGCGTTTCATCGCCTCAGTAATTCCTCACTGTCTGAATACAAAACACTTAACACAAAGGGTGAATGGACTGCCTGTACTCCTGCTAAAAGACACTAGGTTTTATTAGTTTACAAAGCCACTTTATTGTCATGAAAGCAGCTCCAGAAAAAGGCTCTTGAGGCTCGAGTCTACTAGCATTGTTTGCTTTGGTTTTGGAGAAGATTCACTAGTTAAGCATTTTCCAGGTGGGTTCACTTATGTTTTTTCCACAACAGTTGCTTTCCTTTCATAGTCATCATTCTTGTGCAGGGCTTCAGTTGTCAACCGTTTCATTTTTTTTCCACTGGTGTGTGTGTGTGTGTGTGTGTGTGTGTGTGTGTGTCAGGATGTCTGTGTGTGCTTGACAAATGAGACCCCAGTGTATGGAGCCTGCAGGTACAGTGAGCCGGTCTCACGAGCTGCTGCATGCTCAGTTTGAACCCAGATCTGGTTTAAAAATCAGTAAAAAGTCCAATATCAGCACAGCTTGCATAATAAAGGCACCTTGCCCTCTGCTAACAGGTAAATAGTGGTACTTTCACCCGGTGTTCCCTTTGTTCACAGATGCATGAAGGTCATGGCAGTGCTTCATTGCAGCAGTTAGTGTTCTTCATAAATCCTCCTCTGTAACACTTTAATTACCTCTCCCAATTTTTCCAGTCGCAGCCTCCTCTGTTTTTCTTTTCTTTTTCACTCCAGCACCCCTTAAATCTTCTGTCTCTTTCCTGTCCCCGAAGGTAAGAACCCCACTGACAGCGGGGCTGCGGGGGACTACGGCGTTCCCAATCCAGGGCCGGCGTTCAAAGAGGTGTGGCAGGTGAAGGTGTGGCCCAAAGGCCTGGGTCAGGCCAAGAACTTGGTTGGCATCTACCGGCTTTGTCTGACTGACAAGACGGTCAACTTTGTCAAGCTCAACTCTGATGCCGCTGCCGTGGTGCTGCAGCTGATGAATGTCCGACGCTGCGGCCATTCAGAAAACTTCTTCTTCGTGGAGGTGGGACGCTCTGCCGTGACAGGCCCGGGCGAGTTCTGGATGCAGGTGAGCCTGTAATCTGCAACCCCCTTTATGTTGACAGTTTCACCCTCCAATCCCTCGTAAATGTAAAGAGCCTGTAATCAACAGAGTGAAAGAAACTGCAGTTTTCAAGTTACCCAATGTTAAGGTTGGTGTTCATGTAACCCTACATTATGGTCCAATTCAGGTTTTGCAAATGTATTTAAATTAATCCTAGAAGTCAGTCACTGATTTAAAGATACATCTTAAATACAAATTTAATTGAAAAATCAAAAATTGAACTGTCTAAAGAATAGCCAGTTAAATTCTCTTCATTCTCTCTTTGATTTTTAATTTTTTATCTTAGAATCAGAGTTTAGTGTTTGAGAGGGTTTTTGTGTCACATCTTAGGTGGATGATTCAGTGGTGGCCCAGAACATGCATGAAACCTTACTCGAGGCCATGAAGGCACTGAGCGAGGAGTTTCGCCAACGCAGCAAATCTCAGTCGAACTCCGGCCCTGGGGGAGGTGCTACTGCCTCTAATCCCATCAGCGTTCCCTCGCGCCGCCACCACCCAAACCCTCCTCCCAGCCAGGTGGGCTTCACCCGCCGTCCCCGAACTGAACCTCCTGGAGGCTCTAACGGTGCAGCAGGAGGCAGCAGTGCCAATGCTTCTCCCACCCCGCGGCATAGCTTCCCAAGGTCTCGCACTGCCAGTGATGGGGGGAAAGGTGACGATGGGATAGCAGGGACCACACCGCTCCAAGGGCCGAGCTCCAGCCCCTCCACCAATGGCTCCTGCTCCACCACCCCAATCCTCAGGTCAAAGTCAGTCCGTTCCGCCCCCACCACAGCTGCTAAAACTCCCCTTGGGTTGATGCGCTCCATCTCCACCCCAGCGCCTTCCCCAGCCCCAAGCCTCTCCTCTAGCTCTGGGCATGGCTCTGAGTTTGGAGGTGTAACATCTTCCACTGGTGCTGGTCCGGGGTCTGGTGCCTACAGTCGTGTCCCCGCGCATCGCGCCTCTGTCTCAGGCTCTCCCAGTGACTACGGCTCTTCAGACGAGTATGGCTCTAGTCCTGGGGATCACACGCTCCTTCCATCCCCAAGCCTCCCTGGAAGCTCTGTTGGTAGCGTCAGCAGCCAGTCTCTTGGCGATGAGGGGGCCAACTACATCCTGATGGGCCAGCGCAGTAGTAGTGGTGGTGGCAGTAATCAGGGAAGCTTGACGTCCAGCTCCCTGCCTGCACCAGGAACACCAGCCTGCGGCTCCCAGCCCCAGACCAGGAGAGTGCTGCGCCGCTCCTCCAGCCGTGAATGTGAAGCTGAACGTAGGCTGCTGAGCAAGCGGGCCTCTTTACCTCCTATGACCCTGGAGAGACTGGCCCCACGCCAGCGTAGAGCTGAGGAACCGGCAGATGAAGATTCAGCTGATTACGCGATCATGTCCAGGAGCACCAGCCGCGAGTCCTTTACTTCCATCTCCTCTTCCATGCAGAGGGAATCTGTCATGGGTGCTGGGTCAGCAGGAGGAGGAGGAGGATACTTGGATGTGGCAGGGGAGTTCAAAAGTGAAGGGAGTGGAGGGGCGGGTGGTAGTGTAGATTTAGGTGTGGACAATGGGTATATGTCCATGCTGCCTGGCGTCACTCAGCCTCCAGTATCCCTGTCCCAGTCATTGGCTGTCTCTGTCCCAGACTCAGATTCTAAACCTACTGATGATTACATGGCCATGACCCCCAACAACAGCGTGTCCCCTCCACAGCAGATCCGGCCACCGCCAACTTCTGACGGCTATATGATAATGTCCCCCAATAGCAGCTGCTCCCCTGACCAGCGTGGGGGTCTCTCTGGAGGGGCTTGGGTGGGCAGTGGCAGTGCAGACAGCAGGGCAGGAAGTGACTATATGAACATGTCCCCAATCAGCGCACGTTCTGTAAATGGCAGCCCCCCACCTCCTGACCACACCGGTCATTTGGAGACCAGCTCCCAACAGCAAGCCCCCAAGATGGTGTATTCTTACTACTCCCTTCCCCGGTCATACAAACATAACCCCTCTGCTGGACACTTTGACGATGGGCCCGGGCGAGGCAGAAGGCCCAATGGGAATTGTAGTAGGGGAATGGGTGGAGGTAGGACTATGGGAGGGCGTCAGGAGCAGCAAGCAGCAGGAAACTCAGTGGTTGGACGCCACCTGTCACTCTCCTCTTCCTCATACTCCTCCAGCTCGGCCAGCAGTGAGAGCCTTGGGGAGAGCGAGGAGCGGGCTACCCAGGCAGTGAGCACCACAGCTGGGGGAGCTAAGTCCAAAGATGGGAGTAAGCTCCAGCAGAGACGGGGCTCTGCAGGGTTGTCCAAGCAAGGTAGCCATAGTAGAAGCAGACCAGTGAGCCTGTTTGTTGATGTATCCAAGGCTAATACCCTTCCCAGAGTCCGTGAGAACCCGCTGCCCCCAGAACCTAAGAGTCCTGGGGAGTACGTAAGCATTGAGTTTAAAGGGGAGAAGTGCAGCCAGACTATGGTTGGAGGAGGGCGTGGCAGGGGTCTCAGGCATGGCTTATCACTGCCTCATTGCTCAAGCAGCCAGCATCCTCAACACAGGCCAACTTCTTGCTTAGGTAACTTTGTCCCTCTCTCCCGTAGCCCCTCTGCCCCCATCACTCCCCCAGCTGCCTCCGAGTATGTCAACATGGACCTGGGCCCTTCTCCTTCACCCTCACCACTCTCTCTTACCCCACTAGTTTTCCCATCTTTCCACACCCCTCCCACGCCTCCAACTCTTGCTCATGCCCCTAAAGCCTGTGATGAGGGTACTACTGGCCCTCGTGAAGAGGGGGCCGAAGTGGCTAATGCCCCACTTAGGAAAAGCAGAGAAAGTGCTCCATCGGTGACTGAGTCCGAGTCTCCTACGTCCTGTGGAGACTACACAGAGATGGCCTTCAGCTTGAATAACAACACCGTCCCTAGGTCATCATCCAGTGTCTCCCCCAAAGCCCCTTCCCCCACCAGGACTGATCCTTCTGTTCCAGTACTGTCACGAGGTCTAGACTTTCCCCTTGCCAAACCAGGACTCAACCCAGACCACGGGGCTAAAGTTATCCGGGCCGACCCTCAAGGACGCAGACGGCATTGCTCGGAAACCTTCCTGGCCTCGCCTTCCCTCCCCACCTCTAACTCTACTTCCTCTTCCTCCACTGCCTCCCTATTTCCAGAACATGCCCAAGCTGTGGCCCGCCGGCTGGGCTTTGAAAACATGTTGTGGGGGAATGGTGCTGTGACTGATACCCCCACTCAGTGCCCCCTCCCTGGACAGCAGTCCCTTCCCTCAAACACTCAGACTTCCTCCACAGAGCAAGGTCTTAACTACATTGACTTGGACTTGGTCAACAAAGAGAGTCCTCATTTGGGGCTGGATGGACCCTCAGGTAGCCAGGCCCCTTCTCGCCTCTTCTCCGTACTGGGTGGAGGTTCTGGGATTGGGGGAGTGGGCGCAGCAGTCAGCAGCAGCAGCAGCTCCAGCCTCAACACTTACGCCAGCATCGACTTCTACAAATCAGAGGAGCTGCGGACACATCAGAACGGAAGCAAGGAGGGAACAGGTAAGAGCTGTTCTTTTTTTTCTTTTAAAACAGAAACACACTCACACTGTGATCTGCCTATTCCCACTTTTTTTTGTGTGTGTGTCGTCCTTCCTCTTTCTCTTCCTACTTCTGCTCTGTCGCATTATCCAGGTAGAAAAAACGCACTTTCAAGATAATCCAATGGAGCACAACCTCGCTCTCCATCCATGTTGGTAATCAAACTTCACCTGGCGCCATATTAGGACGTAGACACTGGTCTGAATTATATACGACTGTCCACATAATCCATAATATGAGATGTAGATCAGCTGCAGCGACAATTTGGAAATTGATTTCAGTGCACAGTTTTTACATTGATGTGATTATGTAAGGTGTTGGAGGCCAGACAACCTATTGGAATATCAATGCATATCGATATTCTGGAAATGACTATTGATTCTCTTGAGGCATCTTGAATGCTGTGTCAGCATTCCCAGTGCTGCACCTCCTCAGTTCAGGTTTTCTTTCCAGTGTTTGGGTGCAGTTTGGTTTATGTATATGCCAAGAAGCAGAATCCCACTGCTCTCACTGGTTCACCTGTTGTTTTCCATCGCACTGCGGTGGTAACTCTCAGCAAACCAAGACGTTCTACTCCAAGTTCAATAAAGCTGAACTTTGACCCTGTTATTCGTTGACCTGTCAAATTGAGATCCTTCGGTGTGACATGAGCCAGAGAAACCAGCGGGGGAGAAAAATGATTCACATTAAATTTTTTATTTAATGTTACTTTAGGAGTTTTCCAGAACTTTAAGATTGTAATGATGTTATGAAGGAAAGTGTGCAAGCATTCAAATGGTGTTGCTAGGTTTGTTGATTTGTCTGTGCGAATATTGTTTACTATAAATTTTATAAATAATACATTATGAAATCCAAGCAATTTTTTAATGTTCCCCACCACAGTGTTATGATTATGTAGATTATATAGAAACTAGAATTTAGTTTAGGTGATGATATGCATAACCCTAGTGAGATGTATTTGCATGTACATATATACAGTACATATATAATTTACATAATACTATGTATCTGCAGTGCTGTAACTGCAGAGTTGTCAGACCTTTTTTTTTTTGTTAGTAAGAGAGGTCAGTGAGGGCAGATGATAAATTTTCATTGTATTTACATTTTTTCCTACTGTGGGGGGCAATTTTCTGGCTGTGGGGCACCACCACAGCTAAACAATGCCTCAACTAGGTCACTGTGAGACGTTTCCTCATAGAAAAACATTCTCTTTGAGCCACTGTCTGCACTAAATTGGCCCGTTAAGAAATAGACGCCTGCAGTTTAAGCAGATAGAGCAGCATTTAAATGGAGATGTGGATTTATATGCATCAGTAAAACACTCAGTAGTCTTACTTAACCTTCCACAGTGGGGTTGTTGTGATGAATGCATCCTGCCAAGCTTTGCTGTTAGCCTCCACATGATTTGTACTGCAGGTTGTGTTAAACTTAAAGCTCCTGGGTTTCTGTGGTAAACATTTCGTAGCTCTGCTCCACAGTTGGATTTAATGAAGAATTTAAGGCATTAACAAAAAATTCATCATGGGATCTTGCGGCGAGTGCGGCGCAGCTGAGCTCAACAGTCGGTTTTTTCATAGATTCCACAGATGGAAATGAACCATCAGGCTGCATCCATACGTCGCCGTGTTGGTTTTATTGGGAGGTTGGAGGGCGTGTTGGTGGAAGCAGGCGGCGTTGTCGGCTGTCTTTTAAATAGAAATGTTAGCAGGCTACCACAGTGGGACCATATGGGCTCTGGCTGCTGAGTACGTCAGCGGGGCAGCGTGGGGGAGAATGTTACACATTGGCTGTGAATGTTGAGATGGGGCCAGTGCTTCACTCACACAGCTCTCAAATGCCTCTGTACAGTGTTCCCCCTCCTTTCATCCCTCCATCCCGCCTCCCCCTCTTTCCTCCCTCAATAAATGATCCTTTTGTTTGAGAGTTTTTTACCGCGGTGGGCTGGCGGGCCTCAGCAGGGCCAGGCCCCAGGACTACTGGACTCTCCTGAAGCTGTTTTCCCTTGCAGTTTACAATTTGTGTATGTTGCTTTCTTTATTCTGTCGTACCTTATTCTCCTCTACACTGCCTGTCTTTGTATCCATGTTTTTCTATTTGAGTAAGTGTCCTCGCATTCATTCATTCTTCCCAATCTTTATCCTCATCCGACATCTAGGCAGATGGATATTTGAAATTCCTTCCCTCCCTTCTGTTCACGACACATACTATTGTTCAAGTTTTTTTTTTTTTTCACCAAAAACCTCTCTTGTCTTTACGCCTTTCGCCCTCCTCCCTTTGCACATTGTGTTTCCCTCTGTCCTTTAAATGCTTGCAGAGGCACGTAAAAATAGCTTTTAGTATTGCGCTGAGACGTTATGCTTTTGCTGTAGAGCAGTCAGAAACCAGGGAGAAAGGGACAGGCAAAAACCAAAATGGAAAGTGACTATACAAAGATGGTACATGACGACTAATCTACCCATTACTACGAACAAAAATACAGTTTGGAAACGATTAATTATCTTGTCTGCGTGGATCCTGTGTGCTTTTATTTTTTAAAGAGTTCTGATCTGTTAATTACAGGGGATTTTTTCCCCCAACAGGCTCCAGCTTGTATAAGAGGAGAGTGTGTGTATGTCTCAGGGGTATGTTCTTTTGGCACAGGGAGGGGGCAAAGGCTAAAACTGAACATCAGTAGTGGGACATGTGCCAAAAACAATCCTGTTGGACAGTGGTTATGTATTATGTAATGTGCAAAAATAACCTGTCATTATTTAGATAATGAGGGAAAGCGGGGTGAGCTGTTTCACTCTTTTAGAAGCAGAATCAAGTCAAAATGAATCGACTACAACAGATGTAACGCGTGTGTTTTTTGCCTTGCAGCACACACTTCAACACTGTGAGTGTTTATGTAGCAAATGCAAGTGCTTTTTATGAGCACCAAGTTCAAGCAAATCGTAAGAGACAGTGACCGAAATGTGTATATTTCAGTTTACTGTGCATATCTGTGTGTGTGTGTGTGTGTTTCCCTCATAGTGGAGGAGTGTCATGACCTTCAGCAGAACGGAGTGATTCTTTCCTTTATGAAGTGGAGAGGATTTTTAGGACAAAATGTTAATTTAAATTAAATCAGCCACCACTCCCACAATCTCCCCCCAAAGAAAACCACGTGAGAGAATTTTATTATCGCTCTTCCAGCTGTCCCTTCCCTGTCAATTATGTACTACTTTCCCCATAAGGAGATCCATGCATACGTGTCTGTCGTATAGAATTCAGCCTAGTCGCATGGTAAAATATAAAGTCGGTAAAAGAAACACTGACACAGAGCCGGACTTTGATTGAGTCTGTGATTATTATAGTCATGATGCAGTGAAATCTGAATGAGGCTGTGTTTTGTCGTCCTTCAATCCTGAATCACATGAACATTGTTGTTTTTGTTTTCGACAGTTCACAGAAGCGAGGCTGTTTACATTTGTTTACTGTTGCCTAATTGGGCAAAACTCATGCATAACTGACCAATTGGATCAGTATCTACTGTGTGTGTGTGTGTGTGTGCGTGTGCGTGTGCGTACTGTTGCCTTGTGTCTAGACTCTTATCACAGATAAATGTTACAGATTTTATGGATTCTCTCTTTCGTTTGTGCAGTTGTGAGGAAATAAGTGTCAATAAATTGGATATTGTTGAGCTATGTAGATAAAATCGTCTATCATGTGTAGTAATTTATATATGATAATAATTTCCTGTAACATTTATTTCGTTTAATGGCTAATAAAGCTGTCAAATCAAGATATTTAAGTTAATTGATGAAAAAATACAAAAAAAATTATGAATTTATAATATTCCAATAACAAAACATAAGAAAAACGTAAAATTTAGTTATCATTTTCTACCAAAAGTAAACTTAAACTGCATGAAAGTAAACCACATTTAAAAAAAAAACAACAAAACTCTCTTGACTCTGACGCTCCCAGCAGCGCGTCGTTTTATTGGTAACACTGTTGGGTTTCTCGGCCTCGTTGGCAGCTTGTTGGCACATTCCCACTTCCTCAGAGTTCCAGGTTATGTCGACCAGGAAGAGGTAAACATACTTAAAGTCAGCCAGCGAAGCGAGCAGGAACACACACACACACACACACACACACACATACACACACACACACACACACACACATGAATTCTTTTAGCAACCAAATGCATCGACATTCTCTCCCCGTCTTGTGTGCGAACATAGTTGGTAATGAGAGTCCCCGCCCTCGATCTGAGCTGGATTCCGGTTTATTGGGTCTTCGTTTTGCTTTGGTGATCGTTTCTTTCTCTCATGATAAGCGACGGGACGAGAAGCATGAGCTGTCAGCTGATCGGACAAACTGCAAAGAAGCCAACGCCTTATCTGTGCCTCTTTATTTGGAGGTAAAACAGAGAGCGCGTGCATTGCAGATATCATATCATTGCACAGGAAAGTTATGATAAGTGTGGTGGGCCAAAGTTAAAGCAGGAGGACGGACTGTAAACTGTGATGGATGTTTACAACAGACAGAATTTTATCCTTCACCGCAGTCTCTCTCTCTCTGCTCCAGATAAGTTTGGCTGAACTGGGAGTTTGTTTAAAACTGCTTGTGCTTGTGCTTCCAAGTTTTAATAAATCTGAATTATCCTTAAGTATTTCATCATTAACTCATTAAATTGACTGACGGTGAGCATTTAATGAGTCCCCCGTTGTAACAAACAGCCCATACACTCACTCACTCACTCTGCGCACTACGCACGGCCTTCCTGACGGCAGGCGCGACTTGCTGGGTGTGTAATCCAGGCCAGCGCTACGTGAGACTAACAGCACTAGTAGTGTTATGTAAAACACAACCACGTGGATGGGACATGACCCCCTCCCCCTCCCCCCCAAAGAGGGTGAGGCTCAGGGCACAGTGTGTGTGTGTGTGTGTGTGTGTGTGTGTTTGTGTGTGTTGTTTATCTGTTGTGCTTTTTT